CTTGCACTCACTTACACACATTCTTTCTCTCTAAGGGGGAATGGAGAAAGTGCAGCACTTGAAAAGTAGTATTTACATGATATAAATCACTTCCTTTTATTTCAAGACAAGGAGAGACATGTCTATTAAAACACCTGTACTGCCAGTAGAGCTTTGCAACTTGGTGTAGACAACTTGGGTAAGGAAAGGGTAATAAAGAAAAAAATATTAGTCTAGGCTAAGAATGTGTGTGTTTTATGGAAGCTTGTCAGAAAGTGGTTAGTGTTTCATTTCCCTTCAAAAAGGTTCAGTTATCATTATAGCAGTCACTATTTATATGCTACTCCCAAGACCAGCCAAGAATGATAGTGCTGGCTTTTTTCTTCTTCTTCACAAAATGTAAGGATAACAGTTACTGGATGATGTGCCATCTGAGCAGACTTCACTCAGTGGAGCTTTGCTATTCCCATAGCCTTTACATCTCCTAGAGGTTCAGCCAGTGGCAGCATGGTTGATGGCAAGGTTTCATCAGTGGTCAAGGAACAAAGCTCGCTCGCGCGCGCACACACACACACACACACACACACACACACACACACACACACACCATTTCTCTTTAAGGGGGAATGGAGAAAGTGCAGAGCTTGAAATATATTATTTACATGATATAAATCATTTTCATTTCAAGACAAGGTGAGACTTGACTGTTAACCACCTGATCTGCCAGAGGAGCTTTGCAACAGGCGCAGACACCTTAGGTAGCAAAAGGGCAATAAAGAAAAATATTAGTTTAGGCTAAGAATGTGAGTTTTAGACGCTTGTCTGAAAATGGTCAGTGTTTCACATCCTTTCAGGAGGGCAGTTAGCTTTATAGTGGTCACTGGTTACGTGCTGCTCCTAGGAGCAGTCAAGTCTAGTTGTGTTGTGTTTCCTTTTTTTTTTTTTTTTTACACAACAGTGTTGAGAGAACAGCTGCTGGGTGACAGACACCTTTGACCATCACTAGAGAAAGCTTCACTCTGGAGGGTATTGGGTGGAACCAGCAGGGAGGTGCTGCCATCTTCAGAGTCTTCTGCATCACCTGGAGGCTGAGCAAGTGGTACTGTCTGAGGCAGCGGTTCCTCAGTGGTTTGGGGAGATGAGGCATTACTGCTGCTTGCAGTGGAGAGCTGTCCCAGAACTGCAGCCTGATGAGTCACTTGGTCTGTTTGGAGAGGTTAAAAAATAAAATCCAAAAGTTAATTAAGATGAACAAATTACAGAGGTAGGTTAGTATAAGAGAGAGGGAAAGAGTAAGTACAATGCACCCTAGGAACACGTAAAAGATACACATGTGCAGTAAGAAAGGAAAAACAAAAGAAGAGTAAAAAGTTGACATGTGGAGGAAGAAAAAGTTACATAGGAAGACCAAGGACTAATGACATGTGAAAGAAGGGAGCATGTGCCTTTTATTCCAGCTGTCAGGAGAATCTTTTTGCAGTGGAAATTTCATTCTAACACAAGTGCAATCCCTTCTTTGTATATATTGATATTTTTTCCCACAAACATGTCTTAATTATGAAGTGTTGTTGCACAGCCCAAATCCACTCAAAAGCAATATGTGTGATCAGCTTCTTGAATCAACTTTTATTCAAGCTGTAGCATTAATTTTTAGTAAATGAATAATCAATCAAGAATAAAATACCAAATGGGATATGGATGCGGGAGAGGAAACACAAGCTTCCACTTGCAGGCTCTGACTGAGCACTGATGACAAATGTAAAATATGCACAGAATTGACATTAGGCATGGGCATGATCAACAGACCAATACTATTTCATTAAGCTAAAATAGTTTTTGTGCTTAGAGTATTCCTTTAAGCTGGGGGCCGTCTGCTGTGAGAGCAGGTTATCTGCATGCTGAGAGAAATTCAACTTACCAGGTGTTGAGCACAAAATGATATCTGGGCTAATTGATGCTTCATAGGGAGGAGGAGGATCATCTGGATGTTGGATGTCCGAGTACTTGTAAGCTGTATAGGGAGGAGGTGGCTCATGAAAGTGGAAGGCTCCACCCTCGCCATCATCTGACAGGTGAAGAGGTGTGAGACCAGTGCCAAATCCATCAGGTCCATAATCAAATCCTGGCATCCTCCGGCCCAGGTTGAAGTGATGAACTACAATGTGGAGCAATGGGATGTTAGTCATGTAGGATCAGATAGCTAAGCCAGTGTGTGAAGTGAAAAAAAAAAAAAACCCACACCATTAAAATGGTGTATTATACAGAACAAAATGGCAGTATCAAAAGACGTGTCAAAACTATAAAATACTACAAAAGATTGTAAAGGCCACAAAATTAAGTTGATTAGGTACTAACTTTATTTCCTAAATTGGCTAAACATTTAAGGATATTTAATGGTAAAGCTAAACTAGAGCAAATGGTAGATAATTAGAAAAGCATTTGTTTGAAGTTATACAATAGAAAACATTACTAGAGAACTGTGGATTTTGAGGTTCATTACTCAAGTGGGAATTAAATATATTTTAATTTATACTTATTTTATAAGAATTTATACAATTACTTAATTTCTGAAGTTGTATTTGGCTGTTAAAGGAACATTTCATGCACAGTAGTGGTTATGGTGTCTTCCCAGGTTAAGTTGTAAAACGGAGCAATTTGACAACTTACCTGGGGTCCACTGAGCACAGCCTCCTGAGCTGGAAACCCTTGCAAGCTGACCATAGCCTGGCATACTCCAGGTAAGTAGTTAAAACCAGTAACTCTACATCACTCTATATCTTTCATGGAACCAATGACAAGTGTAAAATGTAGGCAATAAATGGATTCCCATGGTCATATGTTCTGAAGAAAGGGCACGATTCTGAATATCACATTCAATATGAGGCAAATAATTTTAAAAATGCTCGGCCAGCTAAGCGTAAATGGAAAAGTACATTTAAAAAAATAATAATTCCATTCTTTACTTTTGGATGACAGTCATGACACTGATATCACATACAGCAATAGTTATTTATTTGCATAGCACCATTGCTAATATGGGAAATGTTAATTGAAGATAAGCAGTCACTGCACTTTAGACAATTAAGTGTCATGAAGAACAAAACAGGAAGAAAAAAAAAAAAAAGTATTAGAAGGATATGGATAAAGCGTTCTTACGGTTTGCTCCAATTAGAGACTCTATGCGTTCCCTGCGCCTCTGTCTCAGACGATGCACCATGAAAAGCAGAAGTGAGAGTATAAGAAAGGAGGAGATGCAACTCACGATCAGGCGCATGCCACTTGCCATGGAATCAAACAGGCTGTTTCCATCTACAAAACAAAATAAAATTAAGCAGTTTCAGCTATTGTGCAAATATTCTGTTTCTGTTTCTGTATATTCAAATTGGTCTAGTGCACTTGTTAACAAATAATGAAATCTTTTCTGCCATAAAAACACAACTATATCAGTTTCACAGTGCACAGAATATTCCAAGAGGAAAAAACTCACAGGCACTCCAACTTCAAGCCGCAGGCAGATTTATTATGACAGAATGCAACGCAACGTTTCGACCGGAAAGGTCTTTTTCAAGCTGACACCACATGGTGCAAAATGTGCTTATATAACAAACACTAACAACTAAGAAATCAATCAATCAATTACTGCTAATTAGTAGAAATTCTTAATTGATAAAAAGGTAATTTAAAAAGGCATTGTAAAAAAAACAAATATCAAATGTGAAATATTACAATATATACATAAATCAGATAAATAGTGCACACTATATCATTAACTTCATACACACAAGACATGAATCATTCTATGATCATATTAATGCTAGGAATTCTAAAATGTATATATATATAGGATAACCTATTATGTCATGAGTATTCCCTGGTTACAAATACTGTGCCCATAGAGGAGAGAAGAAGTACATAAGAAAACAGCAAATAAAAAAAGTAAATACATGCAGCGTATCCTCCATGGTATCCAAACGCGACCCACTTCCGGGTCTGTGAACCGCACGTGACGTCATTGGAACGCACGTGCGAAATCTTCCTCCGAACGGATTGGCTGGAGGACCAAACATAACATCGTTCTGTGTTCAATTCACCATTGCACAGCCCACATAGTGGAGTATGTTCACTCTGCCACATCACTATCCCAAAGTAAATCTTCACAGAACATCCTAATCATTCAGGCATGTTATATGGCACAGATCAGGAAAATAAATCTATTAGATGTAATATACAATATAAGTAAATAAACAAGAGTAATAGTTATTCATATAGGAATACCAGAGATGGATACTTAGAATAATCATTATACCAAATAAGAGCCAATTCCATATTAAAGGTACAGACCTCAAAAGTCAAACACCTATACCTGGCAAAGATTAAATAAAAAAGGAGACAGCAAAGAAAATACAGGGACAGTGAATTCCCATATGGAACATGAGAATCTGTATATATAAGGACAGAGACTATATAGTCTCATTATATTCTCTCATATATAGGCACAGTCGACATCATTCCAGATTAAAGGTACAGACCTCAAAAGTCAAACACCTATACCTGGCAAAGATTAAATAAAAAAGGAGACAGCAAAGAAAATACAGGGACAGTGAATTCCCATATGGAACATGAGAGTCTGTATATATAAGGACAAAGACTATATAGTCTCATTATATTCTCTCATATATAGGCACAGTCGACATCATTCCAGATTAAAGGTACAGACCTCAAAAGTCAAACACCTATACCTAGCAGGGATTAAATAAAAAAGGAGACAACAGAGGAAATAAAGGGACCATGAATTCCCATATGGAACATAAGAGTATATATATATATATATATAGACAGAGACTATATAGGCATAAGGAATCTATCGATAATCTATGTGAGAAAAACAAGGAGAGTATCTAATATCCACATATGGAACTCT